GTTGTGTTTTCATTTACAAATGAAACTACGTGAATGATTAATTCCTCAACTAAACACTATAGTATTTATAATTATGGAGTATTAATTAGCTGAAATAAAATGAAATATATATTAAATTTAAACTGCATTCCAGCAAAAATTCCAGTCAGCAAAATCAAAGCTTTATTGGCATGTCGAGCATTTACAGTAGGCTATTATTTACCAGTGGAGGCTCGTCGGGGGAGGCAGGGGAGGCACAGCTGTACAGCTGAGCGAACGTTCCAGTGCACTGGACAGATGTCGCGATTGAGACAGCCCTTAAAATGGCCGACTCCCTGATCAGTGCCCTGACTACTGAACAAGGGAGCTGAATGTGAACCCTAAGAACCCTAAGTGAACTGAACATGTCAGCTCCCAGGCACCGTAATTTACAGTATATATGACTGGATCGCTCATAGCGTTCTAAACTGCCATTCAGCGGTGAAGCCACCGGAAGTGTTCGAGCCGCCATCTTACTATTCCCTACCAGCTGAGAGCACCATTGACTGACAGCCAAAACACTGACCTAAAATCACCCGATTTGATGCATATCAGTCACACGGGATTAGATTTGAAGATATGTGTATGTAAATTAAACAAAATATATTTCTTTATGTACGTAATTATGCAGGAAATATTAAAGATGAATGTATATCTGGTATTAGTATCTGAAATTGATTCGGATACAACAGGACATATTACAATACATTGCTCTATATTGTATTGAAATTCAAATCTTACCACGCATCATTTTGGAAATAAAGCTTCATGTCTTTAAGTCCTTAGCATACGCAGTCAGTGTTATTTCTCTGAATAAGTTATGATGCGTGTATTATTTTATGTCCTGAGGGAGCAATATCTATTTCAGACTCCTCAAGATGGCGCAAATTCTATGGCATTTTAGCATTAAAGTTTCCAGGAGTAATGTGTATGTTTAATTAATTATTAATTTAACCGACGTTTAAATCATAATCATTAATCATTATGATGCGATTTCAATTTTTCCTTTCTCTTTGGAGTGTTACAAGCTCTTGGTGCATAAAGAAGATCTGTAAAGTTGCAAAGACTAAAGTCTCAAATCCAAAGAGATATTCTTTATAAAAGTTAAGAGTCAGCCACACCTACCTAAAACGGCTCGTTCTAACACGCCACCACATACCTACGTCACTATCTGGGAAGATTTGCATAACGCCGCCCAAATGTTCACGCAAAGAAAGAAGGCGTAACTTTTATTCTCCCAGATCGGCTTTCACCGTGGACGAAGCGGAGTCCAGCCCGGGGTCGTCACATGTGGTTGTTGCAAGCCCGCCGGACGCTCCTTCGTCGAATCCGCCGCCTCTGCTCATTCTAGCCCTCCGGCCGTTCCTCACTCTAGGCCCTGGCCTCTGCTCACTCTAGGCCGCCGTTGTGAAAGCGAAACTACTTTGTTTGGCTTTCCAAA